TATTTCAATATCTGTTGGATTTCACAGTTTCTTCTGCTTTTGTGTGAATTTTGAGACTTTACATGGGGGATGATTTCAGCTTGTTTGATTTATTATGCATGCGGAATCACTTTGTTTTTGTTGGGTTTCTTAGTTTGCTAACATGTTACATTATGGTGAAAGGCCAATTATGTACCTGCATATCTTGTATCTAATTTTGTTTTCTGTAGATCTGTATGTAAAGTCCTCCATCGCTTTTGAACTCACAGCTATGTTATGGCTATTGCAGGGGTATAAAGTTATCGGGTCCCACAGTGGAGTCAAGCTTTGTAGATGGACCAAGTCTCAACTAAGAGGCCGTGGAGGCTGCTACAAGCACTCATTTTATGGGATTGAGAGTCACAGGTTTACTTTATCAACTCTTGACACTTATTGTACTATTGTTCGTTTGAGAGTTGCAATTAGACTACATAGATATGTCTCCTCTGGCTTGAGCACTGATTTACCTTATATCATGTGGATGTCATTACTGTATCCAAGTAAAAGCTTTCAGATCCTCATGTGTGAGATGGTCTCAAGCATTTCCACAGCCTTAAAAATTTTCTTAAAAGGCATTCCAAACTACAAACTTTCTCAACTAAATAGAGCCTAAAGTAAACCCCAGTCAACATGATTGTAAATCTTTTGTTGAATTGTTGTGTAAAATTTTTAACATGATTAGCCTATAGGTTATCTGTTCTTAGAGAAGGTAGTTGTTGTACTTAAAACTGTTCTAAGAGCGCTTTAGCGGTTAAGAGCTGCAGATGCTTTCCTGATAAGCTGTGCAGGTTTTTGTTGGTGCATGACTTTGTGGATGTTTCTCTGTTTCGTAGAGATTAATTTATATCCTTTTTCAAATCTTTAGATGCATGGAGGCTACTCCGAGTTTAGCATGCGCAAATAAGTGTGTTTTCTGTTGGAGGCATCACACAAATCCTGTTGGGAAGAGTTGGCAGTGGAAGATGGATGATCCTTTAGAGATTGTGAATACAGCTATTGAGTTGCATACCAAAATGATAAGGCAAATGAAAGGAGTTCCAGGCAAGTATTAAGGTTGCATCAACCTTTTTTTCCCATATGGAGTATCATTGTAGCTCTCGTTCGTGTAAGAGAATTAGAACATTCAATTAAATGCATGGTATAATGGCATAAAGGTGAGAGAGCTTTTAGTTAAAGCACTTCACTATCTAGGCTTTTTCCTCTTTAGTCCATGTTTAACCGCTCAAACTGATGAAAAGTTGTTACCCTAGTGTAAAGTTTTGTCCTGAAAACTGGATGATGTGTGGGTACTGTTAGCGTTGTTCTTAAGAGGCATATATACCTGCAGGTGTTAAGGAGGGGCGCCTGTCAGAGGGTCTTGCCCCTAGGCACTGTGCCTTGTCTCTTGTTGGTGAGCCCATCATGTATCCTGAGATCAATACATTGGTAGATGAGTTGCATCGAAGACGGATTTCTACTTTTTTAGTGACAAATGCACAGTTTCCAGAAAAGATCAAGTTGCTGAAGCCTGTTACACAGGTTTGCTTGTTTTGTTTCCGTCTTCAGTTCTGTTTAAATATCTAACTGAGTTTTGGTGCTAATTGTCACTGATTTCTTTCAATTGATTATGCAGTTATACGTTAGTGTAGATGCTGCAACAAAGGACAGCTTGAAAGCTATTGATCGGCCGTTGTTTGGAGATTTTTGGGAGCGATTTGTTGTGAGAATCTTCCTGATATTGAAATCTATAATTTGTTTCATCTTAAGCTTTCTTCATTTTGATATCAAAATCTATCATTTATTTCATTTTAGGCTTTCTTCTTTATGATATGGAAACCTATTATTTATCCATTTTAGGCTTTCTTCTTTTCTGAACCATTTGGATGAATGCTAGATGGCTTAAAAAACAAAAAAAGAGAATGGGATTCCCTCAATTCTAGCACCAGTTGGATTGCGTGATTATCATCATAGAACCTTCCAAGTGTTCAAACTTGTCTTTGATTGTCAATAGGGAGAAATTAGGAAAGATGTGCTTTTACAAGGAGCTTCTACTTGTTTTAGTTTAGCTTTGGGATGCCTGGCTGCGTCAATGTAACTCTGCCCTATCTGTTTTTGCCTTAATCAGGAGTCCCTGAAAGCTTTAAAAGACAAACAACAGCGGACGGTTTATCGCTTGACTTTAGTCAAAGGTTGGAATACAGAGGATGTAGATGCGTATTCTAGCCTCTTTGGCACTGGGAATCCCGATTTCATTGAAATAAAAGGAGTTACTTATTGTGGATCGTGAGTTCCGAACCTAGCATTCTCTCCTCTGCCTCTGCACCTCCCCACCAAAAAAAGAAAAAGAAAACCTTCCCCAAATGGCCTTTTGTTCTATTTTGACAGTGATATTGGAAGTGAAGTACTGAACAGTTTTATAACAGGTCTGCTACGTCGAAGTTGACAATGGAGAATGTGCCTTGGCATTATGATGTAAAGGAGTTTTCTGAGGCATTATGTCGGAGAAGCAACGGAGAGTATGAGGTTGCTTGTGAGCATGTACATTCGTGTTGCGTTCTTTTGGCTAAAGTGGAGAAATTTAAGGTGGATGGCCAGTGGTACACATGGATAGATTATGAAAAATTCCACGACCTGGTATGCAACTTTTCCCAGTGAAGTAAATTTACGTTGTAGCATGCATACATATTTAATGTCTATCTCATTCTCTGAAAATTCAGGTGGCTTCCGGAAAATCATTCACTAGCAAAGATTACATGGCGCCAACACCAAGTTGGGCCGTCTATGGAGCAGAGGAAGGTGGTTTTGATCCAGAGCAAACTCGTTACAAAAAAGAGCGGCATCACAAAAACAGTCGCTGAGCGGGTGTGGAACTATTTTTGGTTACTGAAACAGGTCGGTCAGGTTGGAGTTTCGCCTTTTGAGAGAAAGTTGAATGGGTAGAGCAGCCTGCAGTTTTGTTTGCAGAATCAGGTTTTACTGTACACTTAGAAAGTTAATTCTGTAGAATAGTCACGAAATGCAACAAACACAACTACAACAAACAGATGTACTACTGTATCTTACCATCAAAGTATTCCTTTATTATGCAAATGGTTGGTGGTAGTGCTTATTTATGAACCGCGTTGACTTGCTAATGATCTTTGTCCTCTCTCTGTTACTTATTTTCTTGGCATGTGCAGACCACTGCGACGTTTTGTTTGTTAGATTGTCTGTGTCCCCTTCCCGTTGCTTCTCCTCCTGTACCATAATTGGCCTTTCCCCTCCTTTTCTTTTCAAGTCTCAACTCGCTCAAACACGACAAGAACCTCCCAAAGTCTTATCAATTCCCCAAAATATAGTTCCCCTAGGGTTGGCTGGTGCTGGGGGAAGCCTTTTCAGGTCCTGGCGGTCGCGATTTGACTCCTGTTAATGTCTTGTGTCTTCTGGGGGTGGGGGCACAAGCACAATGGGATTAGTCGAGTTCGGAATATTCCTTCGTTGAATCTCGGATAGCCACTGTGTCCGGAAAAAAAAAAAAAAAACGACTACCCCCTTTTCTACATACGCGAGTTTCTACGTTGCAGTTGAACAGAGTCCATTAATATATTTGGGGCCATGGTGAAGCTTTGTGGGGATGAAATAGTGTGTACCATTGGTTCCATATACTTCAATTTGTAAAGAGCGAAACCACGGAGCATCACGATTCTTCAAGACGAGGACTCGAGGGTGAAGGCAAATTGATCACTACAGCATCATCCTCTGGGGCCAGAGAAATCTTGAGCTTGGATTTGATTTGAGAGAAAAAGGGGTATCGTTGACAGTCGGCAAAGTGCTACCTATGGCAACGGAATACGGCGCACCATGACGCTGCCTTCTACTTGCTCGCCGTTTTAACCATTATTTGCCTAGTCTTCCATGGAAAATACTCGATTGCTTTTGATAATAATTGTCCAATCACTTATCAGTTGCGTTTCCAGCCTCATTTCTTCTCTTGCTTTTCTGTCACAGATTTTGTTCCCAATCAACGTCCAATGGCCCTACCCCAGGAGAAAGTTCACTTGGATGACTTATGTGCTCCATTTATCCTCTTCTTCTCTAATTTTTTTTTTTTTTTTTTGAAGGGGGGAGGGGGGTGTTGGTGGGGAGTTGTTTTCCGGGTTCCTGGAATACGCGAATTTAATAAGATGGGCTAGCTCTAATTTCAAAATTTTGAGTACAATAACGAAAAAAACGTAGTCAAGAAAGAATGGAAACAGAATTTTCAGATGAGACGAGGAGGACTACTACTACTACTAATGCTGGAGGTGGAAAAGTTTGACTATCCCAGAGATCTAAAGCAAAACTGTGATTAACTCTAAAAAAGAATTTGATGGCATGCGTGATGGCTCCGAATCTTTGCTTGCAAATGATAACCAAAAGACCATTTCCCGTTCTTTCTTTTTCACTCGAGACTAGAAAACAAGAACAACGCAATGGAAATTTGCACTAACATGCAAATTTGTCCGAGTTGGCACGACTAATGCAGCCAACGCAGTACAGTTTGGCAAATACATATGAAAACAAGCCCATGACATTTATTTAACTAGCATCAGTGGACAGCAAATAAAATACTACAAAACTTCCAAAAAAAACACACACACTGGTAGATGCCAAGTATGAACCACTGAGCTTAGTTCAATGGCCACCACTATAGCGTTAAGGCTTGATGAAATGAGAGGTCACGATTCAGATCTTGCCTCCCACCATTTGTCACTAAATGTGATAGGCCATCTCAAGTAGCTACCGGATCGTGAGGCCGATAGGTGGTTCAGTCCCCTCCGATTTCTTTTCGAACCTTTTCAGGTTTTCCCCTTCCCCATAGTATAGAATAAATATAGGTCCATCGTTTCTAGAGAAAAAAAAGGTAGATGCCAAGCATGAGGTAGTTAATTTGAACAGCACCACCAGCACTAGCTGAATTTCGTTCCAACCAAGGATTTAGTAATTAAATCAATACTGCATGGTATAAAAGATGCTTCAGAGTGTAACCACACACACAAAAGCTATACGAGATGTTTTCATTTCTGACCATATAATCTATCCTATCATTTATAACGTACGTACCTGCTATTTCAGCAAAGTATACATGTCAGCTAAAAAAAGAGTGTGTATTCACCATCGTTCCTGACCTACTATTTAATGGTGCAAGTACGGTAAAGTGTAGAGAACGATCAACACAAAATTTGTACGGCCTTGATTGGATTACAAGCTTTTCTCTGTTTAATGTTGGCCAAGTTTAATGAGAACGCTGCAAATTTTCTTACCTCACAGGATTTCAGCAGACTTCAGCACAAGGCAATGAAAAACCAGAACCTAGTGTAAAGGTGGAAGACAACCGCTGAATTAATTATTAATATCGAACGAAAAAAATGAAAAACAGAACGAAAAGAAACAAAATACTAAACCATTAGCACGATTCCCCAAACCAAACCCCACCTTTGGTGGGTGTTTTAGTTTAGCAAACATAAACCACACAAGGCAAAAAAAAAAAAAGGGCAAATTAATTCATTAATGATCTTTCCTCCAATCTTCTTTCTTGAATTCCATTCAACCAAAAAATCTTGAAAGAAAGAATTAATGGAACCAAGAACTACGAGATTTAGCTGCTCTTCCTTGGCTTACTTTTGCGCCTGGCTCTGCTCCTTGGAGCCGAAAGCTGCTTTTTTGAAGAGGATGATGCTGCTGCTGCTGCTGTTGTCATCGTCGTCGTTGTGGCGTCTTCTTTCATCTTTGATGGCTGCCCTTTTTCTTTTTCATCGCTTGTTTTCACTTTCTTTGAATCACCTCCTTCAACATCATGGGCCTCCTCCTCTTGTGCTGTTTTCTCTTCCTCCTTCACTTCTTCCACCTCAGTTTTCTCAGCAATAATTTTCCGGGGTCTTCCTCTTTTCCTAGGAGTCAGAGGCTGCTGCTGTCCTTCTGCATCAAGGGATGATGATTCTGCTATTGCGACTGATAACTCCTTTGTCTTTTTCACCGCTTTCTTTTTACCCATAAATATGTTTTTCAATCAATTCCCAAACAAACTCTTGAGCACCAAAACAAGATATACTAGCTCCCCACCTGACTACCGAAATTCTAACATGGCCAATACATATTGCTCCACTTCCATATATGCAACTATATGTATTGGATTAATATTCTCAAATTCACAAAAAAAAAAAAGGAATTACAAACTTAATACTAGTAGTATTTCAATAACAAATATTTGTCTCTTCCTAGATCCTAGAGCCACTTAAAAAAAAAGTAGTAAAACACCGCAATCCATCTTGAATACTCCTACCATGTATCTTCCACTCATAGCATAGCAATATACATATGGGAAACACCGAACTTTAGCTCTCACTTTGATGCAAGCAAGCTTAATAAAATGGATAAGCCGCCTCTTTAGCAGAATCAGATGGTATTATATATAACCAGAAATGAAACAAAATCCACTAAGCTAAAACACACCTTTCTAGGACCATGTGCACAAAAAATTACCTCCTTTTTCCTCTAGCTATGTGTCTTTCTTCAATCTTTCTACCCGGGAGAAGATGTCTCATGCAGAAAATATCTGAATATGAGTACACTACAATTAATATGCATAAGTTTACCTTATCCTTGTATGAAGCTAGCTTTAGTCGTTTTAGCTGAAGAAGAAAAGACGGGCAGTGACGAAAGAAAAGAAATGAGGTCGAAAGATGGAGAAAGAGAGTAGGGGTTGGCTATTGGCTAAGGCTATGGCTATCTGTCAATTCTACGCCTAGCCTAACCACGGTTAAGTTGAGAAAAGGATCAAGTCTGGTCAACAACTAATTTGAAAAAAAAAAAACTATCCTGCTTTGGCCAACCGGGGGGTACCGGGCACAGGCACATCAAGTGAAAATTACACTTGAGTTTAGAGTTTAGGGGGTATAAGCACATCAAGTAAAAATTACACCTAAGCTTAGTTTGGGCCATCAAAAAAATGCAAATGTGACAATCAAGTCATATCAAAATGAAATATTATTGTGCCACCAACATTTAATGTTTTTGATTTTGTGAGTTCTTGGTTATTCGTGTTTGAAATTTGATAATTTGAACTTCTAAAATGGTTGCATTATCCCTTCAAGACTGTGCAATTAGTTGGCCATGCAACTACGTCACGTGATTGGCAAAAAGGGCAAGATCAATACTTTCTCCGTTTCATTGAAAGTATCATACTTTTTATTTTGGAATGTCTTAAAATATTTGTCATATTGAAAAAGTCAAATCATATTTTAGTTTCTCTTTCCAATATAACCCTTCTTATTAATCATATGCATGTTACTATTCTAACTTAAATTTTAAATTTGTGAGGGTAAAATTGGAAAGAGAAATACAAACATTACAATCAAGCCACTATTTTTAAAAAGTTGGATTCTCGAAACATGACTAAATAATTGGGATGAGTCGGAGTATTAGGATAAATTCATTCTGACATTTGTGGAGTCGATCGAAACAATTATTTTGAGAGGTTGGATTTCTAGAAAAAAGATTTTGAATGGAAAGCATATTACGTTTATGTCACATAAATACTTTTGTGCTGATTAGAATTATTCATAATTAGCATGTAAATACGCCACTATCTCCACATATTTTCTAGGAGCACTAAGAGCACCTTAATCCTCAACACTAGATTAACTCATTGTGATCTAAACAACTCGTTGTAAACCTCTTGTGTCGAACACGAAAAATTATGGGCTTTGTCTCAAATAATTTTGATTTTCAAAAAGTCAAAATTAAATTTTAAAAAGCAAGAAGTGACTCGTAATTTCTAATTTTAGAGTTCTAGCTTGAGGGGGAAAAAAACCCAAAAACTATAAGAAAATTAGTTAAAAACATCACAAACCAGATTCTCTAGAATCAAAAGCCAAAATCGCGTCGCAAAAATCAGTTGAAATCAAGGCCTATCTGGTGTTAAACTAGCAAGTACTAAAATAGGAGTGGACAGTGGTGGGGTAAAATAAAGGAGAGGCTGCCGGGGTTGTGACTCGGTGAGCTATGACCGGAACCAGGGTGGAGGGTTGGGGGACTCTTTCCTCTTTACCCTTTACCATTTCGAGTTCTGACTTCTAACAATTGAGTGGGGTTAAAGGAAAGAGGTGGGGTACGGTCTATGACACACTTCAGTGTCTCAGTCTGACCACTGGTGTCTTCTTCTTTGCGGGTTTCTCGTATATCTTCTGGTTCCTGTGGACAAATTGAGTAAGTGGTCCGTGAATATTGGCCCTTGGATTCGATTCAGCTACGTCTGATGATCCATTATCCGATGAGGATCTACGGCCAGATGGACCACAGGTGTATATGATACTTGACCCACGGATGCAGGTGAACCCAAGTGGGCCTCATTGATATATATATATATATATATATATTAACTCGGGTTGGCAACACCCTCATTGACTCTTTTGACCAGCTACATTGGCCAAATTGTACAGTAGCTTTGCCTACGCAACGTTGCCAAATTGTACCTTTTTTTTTATTATTAGTGCCTACTAAAACCCAGTGAAAGTAGAAGACTCCTGGTCCTAGTAAAAACAATCAAAAAGAAGGGAAATCGTGTTGTCTTGTTTCCATTTCAATGGGATGCAAGAAACGTTACTACACTACTGTTTCTTTATTGAATCACACGCGTTCACAAGAATCTGCTCTTTTGACCAACCAAAGAACTCAACTTGCCTTGTCTCTATAATGTGCTTTTTCCATTTTGCAGATGTGAATAGGAGTATATTTTGCTTTGAAATTTATTGATTTTATGAGTTTTTAATGTTTATGTTATCTCGAATGGTTGAATCCTGTAAATTGGTTATAATGACCTTCTTCGAAGTTAAAAGAGATATCAACAGAGAGTGCCCCACAATTTTGTTACATCACATTCATCTCTCCTTGAGCTCTTCTGTTTCTTCTTTCCTGTAGCGTTGTTGACTTCCAAGCTTTTTTTTTTTTTTTTTGAAACGATAGGAATATATTGATCAAAACATAACTTTACACTTGTAGAGCAACGGCTCCAAGAGACTTTACAAAGGTGTTAGACACCTTGAGGATTGTTCCATTCCTCATCAATACAAACTTCTCTGTAAACTCATAAGTTAGTGCAGCCAAGTGAAGTCATTGTAAATGGGTATGAGTATACCATTATATTCAATTACCTATTTATGAGTTATTTAAAATTTACTTTTTTTTTTTTTGCATGTTATCTGACAAGAAATAACGATATTTTATTATTATTAAATTGATAAGAAATTCAAATTTATTTGCACAACCCTCACTAAAAAATTGAGTTTAAATGTATAATTATTTTAAAATGGTTATAAATGAGTGAGTCGGATCAACCCACTGTCCATCAATTAAATGGTTTTAATTGAATACCCATTTAGATCCATTTGAAATTAACGGACGGATTTAAGCGGAGTATTGATGGACAGATTTGAATGAATCAACATAATTAGGTTATTATTAACACCTCTAACTTGCAGTAATCTTCTTAATTAATAGTACTTTAATGACATCAGGCTCTTTAGTATACATTTTGAACGTGCAATTTTTCTTTTTATTAGAAGAGAGTGCAATCTGTGTAGTCATAGGTTGGCAAAATTTGTTGTTAACGAAATTACGCTGAAGAAGCTTCCCTACGTGGTTTAGAAATGCCGCGCATGAAGACTCTTTGGCAGTAGCTAGTTTTTTGTAGTACATTTGTATGTAGCCATATTATTGTTTACATATAAAAGTTGACATTTGACCAAAAAAAAAAAATATATTGATCATGAGAAAGTTAGGATTTGTTATTGCTGGAGTTTTTATAAAGAGACGTACTAAGGTGATGTATGTAATGTATATAAGATAAAAATATGATTCGAAAATGTATTCAAAGAGAACTGAAAAAAAAAAAAGAAAATATTAGTAATTAGCGGCATCCAATGCACGGACAAACTGACAATGGGCTGAGAGTCTACCTGAATGGGCTAAAGCAGCTTCCATTATGGGCTAAAACATGTCGAAATCAACTAAACCCAATTCATTCGTGTGTAGACTGAAGCCCATTGATCCACTGACTCCTCGTCCTTTGCTTAACTAGCAATTAAGAAACATTGGATGAGAGCTATGCGTTATTTGTAGGGGTGTGCATCGAATTCGAATTCGGTAATTCGGAAGTTTGAATTCGGAATTTTTCGAAATTTTGGTACCTGGTAATTCGACCGAATTCGATTTCGAATTCACCAATTCCGAATTCGAATTCGTACCGAATTCCGATTGAATTCGGTACGAATTCGAATTCGGAATTGGTGAATTCGAAATCGAATTCGGTCGAATTACCAGGTACCAAAATTTCGAAAAATTCCGAATTCAAAATTGAATTCGGTAAATTCCGATTTCACCGATTTCACCGAATTCGGAAAAATTTATATATTATTATATAATATAAAATTTATAATATTATATAATATTTTATAAATTTTATAAAATTTATATAATATTATATAGTATAAATTTTATATTACATGTATAAAAAATATATTTATATATTAAAAACGAATTTGAAATCGAAATCGGAATTCGAATTCCGATTTGAAAAACTCCATTACCGAATTCGAACCAAATTCGAAATATATGAATTCGGAAAATCCGAATTCGATTCCGATTTCCGATTTACCGATTTCGAAAATTCCGAATTCAATTCGAATTCGATCGGTAAATCGGAATTTTTCGATTTTACACACCCCTAATTATTTGTCTTAAAGGCGATAAGTCAGTCGCTCGTTTTGGAGAACATCACTTTCATCAATCCAAGAAACCGACCTCGGCTGCCAAATGTATTGATTTGGATTAGGCTATTCTATTCATATGATCCCACGCTTCCCCTGTCCCCGGTCTCCATCAACATTTCTTCTGCCTCCCAAATACTCCACATGTTATGTTGATCCATACGTATCTGTCCGTCCATTGTTTAGCTGCACTGTACACCATACAATATAGAAGATGCATATAATTATAGAAAAGGCACATTTTTGTGTAGAATATTTCGTGTTTGGATTGCAATTTTCTAAAGTTTTTATAGAAAATGTACGATAACGATTTGATATATATATAAGGTAGAAAATTAATTACAAAATGTGTTCACGAAAAAAGCAGAGATTTTTTTATGAAAAATCTCTTTCCAAACAAGGTACCCTCTTTCAAATATTCAAGATGATGGGCTGTCCCATTGAAAAAAAGCTGAGATTTTACTGTTTTTTTTCAAAGGGTACTGAAGTATACTCCTAATTTCAATAATTGATCGAAGGGAAAAAAATTCCAATGATCCCAACTATTAATAGGATGAATTTTCGACCAGCCAATTATTAAAATGAATTTTTGATCCCGATCTATCAAAAGCGTCAAATGTTGAACATTTTGTGCTATTCACGAGGAATTAGCAGAGGCATTATAGTCTGCTCATGAGAATTAGTAGGGGCATTTTGGCATTGTTAGGTACGTCCTCCATGATCACATTAAACTCCATCTTCTCCTCCTTTGTATTTTGGCTTTCCTTCCTTTTGTATTTGAGGGATTATTTGAGAGAGAAAGAGGGGTCAGCAACAGCAGCACCAGCAGAGGAAGATGAAGTCTCTTTATTGTTATTGAAGATGACGTGGCCCGCGGGAGTAAAGAAAAAGGGGTTGTAAAATGTTCCTTTAATTAGGTTTTTTTTTACCACTTT